TTTTTTAAATAAATCAACAATGCTTCTATAACAAGATCCTTCAATCCATCTGTTTCTATAGGACTAGAAATGTTTATTTTTTTTTTTGGTATTTGAGTCAAGAATTAATATTTCATCAGCCTCTTCATCTTCTAAAATGTCTTGAATATTGAATACGTCCTCTTGTTTATCCAATTGCAATTGTTCACTACTATCTTCAAATTCATTATCTATTGAGAGATGAGATGAGTTTTTTAATTAGTGTATAGATTGATGGATAAATTAAGGAAAAGGTAACGTATGTGGCCCCACTTAATTTTGTAGTAATTTCTTCAAAATCTTTCAAAACAACTACCAGATCATTCATCAAAATCCATTCTGATTCACTCAACAAAATTCTTTCCAATTTTATTTGCTTCTTTCGTTACTTATTTATTTTGATCTGACCAATATCTGCTAGGTAATGAGTTATTGCATCTTTGAGAAGGATCAATCGTTGCCACTAATAATAGGCAGAGTTCCACTTAGTACAGACATCATTGATTATTTTATAAATTTTTGGGTAATTCAAATTTTCTTGTTCTTTTTCTAATATCTCACATTGTTAGGAGATGAAAAAAATTTGGTTAACCTTTTGACTCTTAAAATGAATTTTTGGATAGCTGTATTAATTTTCAATGATTTCCTAGCTACTAGATTCAAGGTATGTGCATTACATGAAACATGCTTGAGATAAAGAAAAACTCTTTGTAAAAGTCTGGCTGCTTTAATAAATGGGAACCACTGTCTGTAGTTATACAAACAATCTTTTCTTTTAATTTCCACAAAAAATTTATCTCTCATAATTTCTGACAAATAACTTCAGATGTATGTGGTTATGGGATGTGAACCAATGATAACAAAGCTTCCTGTGGTTGATATTCATTAGAAATCCAATGACAAGTTACTCCCAAATATCTATGTTTGCCACAAGAAGTCCAAAAATCACTTGTCAGTGATATATATTTGGATTCTCTCTCCATTATTTCAACCATAAGTATTTTGAATAGTCATAAATGTTTCAAATAGTCATAAATCTTTCAAATAACCATAAGTATTTTGAATAGTCATAAATTTTTCAAATAACCATAAGTATTTCAAATAGCTGTAAATGTTTCAAATAGTCATAAGTATTTCAAATAGTCATAAGTATTTCAAATATTCGAATATCAAGTGATAATAATTATGAATATTCAAATATCACTTTTATTTTTGATCAGAAGTCCTAATTAGAAGTATTTTGAAGAAAGAACAAGGTGAAAAATTGCACCTTATGTTTTCAAAATAAATGATACTCAAACTCTTGAAGCTTATCTAAGAAAAGAAAAGATTACCTATGAAATTTACCAAGAAGAAAGAGTTTTCAAAAGAGCATTAGAGAATTCTAGTAAAGAATCAAGAAAAAAAAGAAAACTGGCAGAATAACTTGATAAACCAAACAATTACTTTTTGTTTTCAACTTTGTTAATTTTTTAATTACCTTTTATTTTCAATCAAAGTCATTTTTTAGTTTCTTTAACTTCAATTTGAACAACTTGTTGAGAAGTTAACTGTTCTAACTGAGTCTTTAACCTTTTGATTTCCTCTTTGTGATCATCATTCTCTTCTTCTAACTGCTTAATTTGGTATAATAATTCTTGCTTTTGTCTTTTACTTCACTCCTCAGACTTTTCTTGAAATTTGACTACTTCTTCCCTTTCAATTTCTAAGGCTTCTTCAGTCTCGTTTAGTTGCTCTTGTAGGGAGTTTATTTGTCTCTCATAAAAAGTAGACTGACTTATTTCTTCATGAGGTAAGAGAGGAAGTTCCTTCTCTTCTAAATCTTCATTGTTTCT